TCTTGCATCTACCTACCACTTCAGCATTTTATTAAAAATAAAAATAATAATAATAATAGGAGAAATGTGGGATCAACATATAAATCAAGTACAAAAATCAAACGAATATTCATATTTGACCTGATTGTTTATAGGTCATAATGCATGATCAAAACCGAAAGTTTCTGTGATGAATGCCCTTGTACTGTTCACCATGTAAGAATTTATTCACTATGTAAGAATTCGTTCACCATGTAAGAACTTGTTCGTTATGCTTCAGAAGATTGGAGACTGACGAGAATTAGGCTTGAGATGGATTAATGATTGTACATTGAGCATTGACCCCCCTATACTGAATTTTATTGTTGTTAACAACCATTTGATCAATAAATATGAGAGATGCCCTCTCAAAAAAAAAAAAAAGGGAAAATTGTCTTGCCTGAGGATTTCAGTCCTGGGAAAAGTTCATTCTGGATTTGATGAGACCGAAAAATAACAATGGAATGTTCTTGGGGTAAGAGGGTTTATACCCAGTTTTATTCTCGTGGTGGCAGGTCCAGCGCTAGAATCCTGCCCACCTCAGAGAAATCTGCATGTAGCAACCTGGTCTCTGCCTCCGGACCTCTCTGCCATCTTGCAGCTACAGAGACCTGGGCAAAGCTCTTTATGTAGTAACTACTCATTGCCCACAGACGTACAAACCTGTGCCTGCGAGCATATCACATGCTCAGTAGGCCAGCAGAGCAAGGTCAGGTGAGATTACTGGCCATGGAACTTACATTTTCTCTACCGTTGTATTTCTAGCTTTAAATTTTTGTGTTTTTTCTGTGTGGCATTGAAGGAGCTTCATCAACTAGCACCACCTCTCTCTCTCATCTCTCCATGCCCAGTATGAACTTCTCAGCTGGCCTCCTCACTGTCCTCTACACACTTGCCACACTATCATTACCACTTTCAGAATGAAAGCCCATTGTCTTCCCCCCTTACCAGAGCTAGAGGTGCTCCTCTCTAAGCTCACTACTCTTGATTCCCTGAAATTTGATAGAATAACAGTATTTTCTTTGCAGCCTCATATAAACTTTCTCTTGAGCTCCAAATCTGTATACCCAAATATTTACTGAATGTATCCACTGAATGTTTCAAGGCCATTCAAGGTTAACAGTTTTTGAGTCAAGTTAGAGGAGTCAGGATGCAACTCCTGTGTCCTCTGAGCTCTAGGCTCCTATGAGTTGATGTGCCCAAAGATGAACCTAACAAAAAAGAAGAAACAACAACAATAACAAGGAACAAGAGATGTTTTTAGAGGTTCTGTGAATTCAGAGAAAGCGACAAGTTAAAGGAAAGCACATATATGTTAGTTGAGATAGGACATTTTAAAGATACTGAATGTATAGAACTAAAGAAAAGCTAGGCAGGGACTGTCTGGAGAGAGGGACTCAGTGGCTGTTCGCATGCAGTTTCAACAAGGAACAGATGGTTCCACCTGGCTCTATAACAAAATGAAACTACCTTTTTAAAAAGCATAGCTGCCTTAGAAAAGTAAACAGTCACTGGAAGGAGAATAAGGAGAGGAATTTATGTCTAACTTCACTACAACTGAGATTATATTTGCACAGCATGTATTACAAGTCGTGTTTGTATATGTAGACGAACTTGACATGGTGAAAAAAGGATGCTATTACAGGGAATAAAAGGCAAGTGAGGTCTTTGGAGCAGAAATGGAAATCCCCCTTCAGCTTCTTTACATGATGGAGGGCAGCACAAACATCAGATCATCCTTTGTGTGCCCCTGCTTTATAATACAAAGACTGTCATGAATAAAACCACAAGAAGTGACGTTTGACTCTAAGATTATGAGTAACATCATTTCGTATCTCCTTGACATTATAGAGGGTACTTCAGATTATGAAACATTTCAAATTTTTATACATATCAATTATCTTGGTATATACTAAAGGTAAATTCTGATTATTTGTGCTTCCCATTTTTTTAAGTTCCACAATCATAAGAATGTGTTGATAAAGAGTGACTTCATCTCCTTGCATTCTTATATTCTATGTCATGGCAGATAATAAGAACTCTTAAAGCAGGAACTTCAGAAGGTACTTGGTAATTTTAAGTGTTAGGGTTTTAGTCACAAACATTACCGTCAAAAAACACACAAGTAAAACAAAACACTGAAGCTCAGAGGAGTTGCGAATTGTTAAGGGTGCCATGACGAAATAACACAGAATAGCATGGCACCTTCCCTTCTGTATAAACTTATAAAGGAGTTTACTCTGTTTAATTTATGATATCCTTTCTGCTAATTTAATGATAGAAAAAAAAGGCATTATGATGGTTAAGTAACCAGAAGCATTTTAATAATGCAACACTTTCAATATACATCAAAGAAAATACACATGTATTTTTTAATAGGCAAAGTACATTGTAGGGCATGTATCTGAATATGAGACATAAACTAATATGGAATGCAAGTTTTAAAAAGACAAAATATTCAGTGTAATTCAAGGTTAACAAATTACAAGTCACTCTCAAATGTAACATTTTTCTCTAAGCACTTAATGCTGATAGACTGAACATTTTATATTAACAGTAAATTTCATATTGTTAATTATAAAAATACCACTAATATTGATAACTATTCCCCAAATTTAAAAAGGTCAGATTCAGTATGATGAAACATAATCAGGTAAATTACCCATAATTCCAGGGTGACCATTTTCTCAGTTGCTTTTCGAAGTTAGATTCTTGATAATATAATTTGCTTAGGAACATATGGCCTTCTGATTAGCCCACTGATGTTTCACTGAAGGGCTGACCATAGCCTTTTCTTTGCAAGCTATAGTTATTTAAACTGAATGAAACTGATTTCTTTTTGAGGCTATATATATATATAATCTCTAATTTTCTTGGATGCTATATATTGGAAAGGTCCCCAGATACCCATCAACATGAATATTTTGCACTATATAGACTATAAAGCTAGTGTTATTATAAATATTCATGTTGAACTTTATATTTGTGAATCGTTCTTTCCTCATAACTGTAAATGAAGATGTAGCTACATGATACAGGAGAAAGAAAAACATTGATATTTCCAGTTCACTAACTAGATTAGATTGGTTTCTCAGAAGCATGATGCATATGAAAAGTCAGTATTTATGTCCTAAATGAAACACTATACTCTGGTATCTGTAGCTAATTGTAAAACTGTTATGCCCTATGTTAGGCAGAAAAATAGACAGGAGCAGGGTGGAGAGAGAATAAAGCCAGTAAGGCCCACTAAGAGGGACTCAAAGAGTTAAACAGATAAAAGCAGAGAGCCAGAAAAGACTCATAGACTTAATGAGTCAATTAGTTGAAGTTTCAAAGGCCAAGAGTGACTTGGAATATCCAGATATTCCCGACACAGAGAAAAGGCAATCAAGGACTTCTCTGCCCTACCCCATAGAGCAGGGAAATAGGACAAGGGTCATTGCCACTGTAAAATCTACTTAGCCTGCAAAAAGGCCCAGCTCATTCTTTAACTTAATTTGTATTCTGTTCTTCCTTTTCATCCAGACCCTTAATTAAGTGATTTTATAACCAGGACAGGAGATAGACCTCCACAAAGTGTAAAAAACTTATGTGGATAAAGAATGCCGAGATCTGAACCAACACATTTGCCTAGCAACATATGGCTGGCTGATTAGCCCACTGATATGTCACCTAAATAACCCTATTCTTTAGACAAAATTTCAAAGGAATTATAAATCACCTGTATATATCATGCTTTATGCTGACTCCTACCCAAAAAGCATCATAAAAACCCCAGACCCTAAGCCTGTATGTGTGCCTCCTTTCTGAGGTTGCCCACACTCATCTTTCTTTCAGTCTGTTACTCTCTCTGTTCTACTCCAGGAAAACAGGGAGGGACTATTGAGAGCTCTGATTTGGGCTTGCAAGTTCCCCTAGCCTGGGTGACCAAGACAGGACTGTGCTGTACAATCGTGCTCTTTAGTAGCCTGCCTGAACATCTTTCTTTGCTTCGGAAAGTTCTCAGAACATAATCTCACTCCATCCAGTGCTCTGTGGTTCTGCAAATCTTGGGGTGGTAAGGGCTTAGTTCCCACACTGCGCAGATTCAAGCGGACACTGGACGCCAGGTGACCCTAGCTTTAAGTGTTGGCAATGAATTTGCCCAATGCAGAGCAGGAGTTCAATTAGCTTCCCTTTCTTGCCTTTGTCTACCTTGACTCTGACCTGCTCCTCCTGTGATGGTATTCAAATAAAACTTTCATTCTGCTTTGGTACTGCGTCTCTACCTTTCAGTTCTTTGTTGGGGCGAGGACAAGAACTGAGGAGAATAGACTCAACACCTACTACTTGGAAATGCAGTATATCCAAAATAACTAAAACAAGCTTGAAAAAGTAGAAGATGGTAGACTTAGACTTCCAGATTTCAAAACTAAAAAACTTCAGCAGTCAGCAGTCAAGACAGTGTAAAAAACACAGTGGGACATTAGTCTTAGCAATTTTTTTTCTGGATCTCTTCCTAGGCAAGAGAAAAATAAAAATAAACAAGTGGGACTACATCAAACTAAAAAGCTTCTCCACAGCAAAGAAAACCATCAACAAAATGAAAAGGCTTTAAAAAACCCATATTGGATGGAAAATAAATTTACAAATGATATATCCAATAAGGTGTTGATACTCAAAATACATAAAGAACTTATACAACTCAACACCAAACAAATAATCTGATTTAAAAATGGGCAGAGGTACTGAATAGACATTTTTCCAAAGACATTTTCCAAAGTTTCCAGATGGCCGACAGACACATGAAAAATGCCACCAATAGGCATAAAACACACATAAATTTTTAAAGAGGTGCTGAAATTCACTAGAAAGGAGAGAAAAGTACAATGAAGGCTTTTGAGTAGCTTTTTATTATTCTGTTCAGGAATACTATCTTGTAAGCCAGTTTTAACATATGCTATGAAAGAAATGTTCTATATCACACATTCACTACTAAAAGTTTACAACCCCTTATCTGAAAACATTTTGGCCTGATGTTTCAAAATTAGAACTTTTATTAGAAAGATGTATCTGCTATATATTATGCAACACTCGAGCAAGTCTGGAGCTGCACTGTAATGAAACACGCCAGTATTTCTGTAGAAGACATGAAACACCAAGCCTTGGTTCCCGTTCAGGCCAGATTTTACTCATAAAGCTGTTAGGTAAGACAGATGAAGGATTGGGACTTGTAATGACACGTTAATCTGGAATCCAGTTCCTGATATTTGATATCTAGTTTATAAGCACTGCAAACTTGGCCTTTTCATCCTCAGAAATCAAAGTGTTACTTAAAACGAAATACAAATAGTTTATTTCAAGAGGTATATGTAAAATGGGTTATCCTGTGAAACTAAGTTAATTACATCATGATCTTCTATAAGGTGTCCAACTCCGCTGTGGTTAAAAACCCTATTTCTTGGCGGGACAATAAAAGACGCCAGATCAATCACAAGCTTGCAGCGCGAGCATCCCTGAGGGCTTCAAGGACTCCTGTAGAAGGAGAGGGAGGCCGGGGATGGTGCAGAGTCCTGCAGCATATCTATCGGGGGCTAACTTCAGCCTTAATGGATGAAGCGACAGAAGAGTTCAAGTAGGGATCTGTACGGCGACTGTTTTCTTGCCAGGGCACTCGGTGAACGCTAAGATTCTTTTTTATGGCGCTGGTATAAATTTTTGCTTGGAGACTGAAAAAAGCGTCGCACGGGGAAGGGTAGCAGCGACTGGTAAACCACAAGTGGAGCCATAAGTGGAAGGGAAACTGCGCAGACATCTGCACGAGTTGGGTGAAAATGGGTCTGAGCCATCCGTTCCCGCAAGCGACCCGGATGATTAGGTACGCCAGGCCCGGAGACCTTGCGCAGTCCCGGGCCAGAACTTTTGTGCTCCACCCGCAGCAAGCTGCTAACTGCTACCCGCCAAAGTGCGGACCGTTCATCGGGCGTCAGGCAAGCCTCTCCCAGGCCGGCAGCCTCCCGGGGGAGGGGCGGTCGGGTCTCCCTAGAGCGCAGGCCCGGCCCAGACTTCCAGAACGCGCCCTCGCAGCTTTCCACCAATCCCCGTTCCCCAGTGGCCACGGGGCGGGACCCTCGCGGCCTTACGTCTAATTCCCTCTCTTCCGCGGCCTGCGGTGGGCGGGCGCCGCAGCTGTGGGTTGCGGGGCATTAGGCGAAGGACCCGCAGGCCCTCCGGACAGCGCTGCCTCCCTCCCCGAACCCTTCTGGCGCGGGGCAAAGTTAAGTCGTGCAGAACGGAGTTAAAGAGACCAGAACGGCGGAGGTGCCGGACTCGGCGGAGGTGTCGTGTCGCCTGGCATCTGGTCTGCCGGGGTCGGAGAGGTACCCCCGAGGTGGGGCCGCTGGGCTGGTCCGTCGTGGGGCTTGCTTGGATTTCCCTCGCTTGGTGCCTCTTGAGTGTCTGGAGAAGCCCTTGGGTTGGAGGTGGGAGGAGGCTCCAGGCTCTCGTCGCCCTCCGCTCCTCTAGTTTCTGGAGCCGAGTTTTGAACTGGTCGCCCTGTGACAGGACGCCGGCGCCATGTACCCGTGCGCAGACATGTACTTGTATCCCATGGACGTGTGTGATGGGAGTGCGGTTGTCGTAAACCTGGTCAATCCCATAGGAATTGTTAATGCAGCTCTCTAGCAGATGGACTTTTTCTAGTCTGCTGTGATTCCCAAAAGTTTGAGTCCTGGGGCCTCACAACCCAAGATTGTCTGTCTGCCACCTCCTTTTAACAGTTTCTGTTGCTTGTTTTCCCCCTGCAAATTGTTCAGCGTGTTTCTCCCTTCCACCGTCATCAGCCTAGTCCAAACCCCTGTGACCTCAAACCAGAATTGTTGCAATAGGCTCCTGGCAGAACTAAACAATTCATCGTGTGTACTGGTATGAGAAAACAAATTTGTTTTTTAAATCTTACTGTTCCTAATTCTTTTCCACTGAGTTTACATCTTACTCCCCTCAGTAAGTCCACTGTCATTAAAGCCAGCGTCATCATATTCATAATGCATATGAAAGTTCTTTTGGAATTATTTAATCTTTGAGGTTGAGAATTCAAAACATCCTTCATGAAAGAATCTGGTAATTCATATTTTTAATGTGTGCCTCTTGGTGAGGTAAGACTGCAGTGGGTATGGAATTGATAGTCTTGGTATCCGTTTCCTAGACTCTTAAATGGCAGGGAGGTATACACAAACTTAACAGTTTAAACAATACAAATTTATTATCTCACAGCTTCTACAGTTCTGAAGTCTAGATAGGTTTAGCTAGGTAGTCTGCTTAGGGTCATAAAGCTGAAATAAGGGTTTCTGGAGGCTCTGGGGATGAATCCACCTCCAGGCTCATTGAGGTTGTTGGCAGAATTCATTTTAGTGCAGTTGTAGGATCTACATCCCCATGTCTTTTCGGGCTGTCAGCCAGGGTCTCTCTTACTTCCATTAAGACCCCCCTGTATCTTCAAAGCCAGAGAGCACCTCCCGTCCTTTTCGTGTCTCTAATCTCTCTGACTCATTTTCTGCCGGATGGAGAGAGCTTTCTGCTCCTACAGGTTAGTGATTAGATCAAGTGAGTAGATCAGGCACACCTACGTAATCTCCCTATTTTAAGGTCAATTGTGTTGTGTAAGGTAATACCGTCACAGTCATGGAAATGATAATCTTATATTCACACTTTCTGGGGAATCAAGGGGGTGGAATCATAAGGGCCATTTCTAGAATTCTGCCAAACATACTACGGTTGTCTCATTAGAGTACTTTATTTTTATGATGTGCTTTTGCGGGCATTAAAACAATAATCCTAAAAACTCTCTGGTTATATGATTATTATCTTTATATGTAAGGAAATTCAGTTAATGTTAGTTGCCTAGGTCTACATAGCTAGTAAGTGGTGGAGTTAGTATTTGGACTCAGATCTACATTTCCATTAGGTCTAAAGCCATGTTTATGGATGGTCAGAGAAAAATGCCGAAAGTATTAGGTAGGAGAAAGCTGAGTAATTAAGATCATTCTGTACTTTGTTTTTGAATTATCTCTTTATTTTAGTGGTGCAGGTTAAGCTTTTCTACCCTAAGAAAGACGAAATAGAAGAGCATGCATAACATAAAAGTTTTTTTTTTTTCCTACATCTAGAAGGAAGCTAGGACTAGTGGGAAGATTCTGACAACTTCAATACTTGTTCTATATAAATGGGGCCAAGGTGATGTTAACAGTTGGCACAGTGGGAAGGAGAGAAAGCACAGGGAGAGTACGTAGAGTCCTTTATAGGGGCGTCACCTGGAGGTGACATATCATAAAGCTATACTGAGCTCCAAGGGGGAGTAGGAAAGATATAGCTATGTGGCTTTACACCCAGTTAAAACTTAGGATTCTGTTAAGAAAGAAGGGAAAAAATTATATTGGCTCCAAGCGATCTGCCGTACCCTTGTTTTTGGTAATGTTTTATTCTGCAACCTTCTCTGAGTCAAATAATTTGGCTTTGCTATTAGTTTTAAGAAGTAGTGTTTGAAAGGACAGCAATTTCTTATTCAATATTAATATTCCTTGATTTCTCAATTGCTGTTTTAACATTTAATTTTTAAAGGCATCTTTGAAAATCTCATTTATCATTTAACACTTGTATACCTCATATTTTGGGCTTGATTTTTCTGGGTAATTCTCTAATATATTTGTGGGAAATGTTCAAGATTGCTTTGGGATACTCGATACCATTCTGTGTAGGCCTCACACCACTGGACCTACCTCAGGTTCCCTAACCTACTATCTTGTAGCCTTTGTGTAGGGAGATTGTGGTCAAACAGATCTGGGTTTGAGTTGTTGGTTTGACCTAAGGCAAGTTACTAAATTCCTCTGAGTTTTAGTTTCCCCATATGTGAAACATCAGTGAACATGCCACCTTTCAGAAATAACATGAAGATTAGGGAGATAACACTTTTTCTATAATACCTACTGCAGTATTTTGCAAATAGTAGGTGCTCAGTAAATGTTAATTATACTGATCCCAATGATCACTCTGCTCCATGACTTCTAGCACTTAGAGTCTACATTCATTTTTTTAAATTGGTTTTCTCTCTCTGACAAGATTATGAATTCCTTAAAGTATAGGATTAAGTCTTGGATATAATGTCCCTGAATATTGCTTTAGTGAATTGGAACTAGCATGCATAAGAGTATTTATGAGATTGAAGTTGTAAGGGGTTTTTTCTCTTGAGATTTCCTAGTGTGATTCAATCATGGAAAATCAATTGTCTAAATCAAATGAAGAACGAACATTCCAGTACCAGGATTCACTTCCATCACTGCCTGTTCCTTCACTTGAAGAATCATTAAAAAAATACCTTGAGTCAGGTATGTTTGTAATCTTTTAGTATATGTTAATATCATTGACAACTTAGAAAACTATGAAATTGTTTCAAGTTAATGAGGGCCTAATTGCTTTTTACTCTAGGCTTGTGATAATTAAAGTACCCTTAAAATGTCTAAAACTTTCTGTCTTTCTCATGTTAACTTTTCAACAGTTTGAAAAGCCAGATAGTACTATTAGGCTTACAATAAAATTTAGTAGTCCTCTGCTTCATTCGCCCCCCTTCTAATCCTACTTCCTAAGGCAAACATTTTCAAATATTTTATCTGTTTCTTCTGTTGTTTATCTCCAGATTTAAACTAACATGCTCATACTACCATTTCTTGGGTTTTTATCATTGTAGATATCATAATTAGTTCCTAAAAAGATGTGGATTTAGCTCTCTTAAACCCTCTAACCTCCCTGCCCCAAGATACATGCAGTTCAACATATCCTCATTTTCTCTTTCATTCTCTTAATCTAGTTGTACACAGTCACCATTTGTGATTAAATTAGTATTCACCTGATTTAATTCAGGGTTTTACCTGAATTAATTTCATTGACCATTGAGGGTTTATAGTTAATGCAACCCTTCAGTGTACTTTGATTATTACCTTTTTGCTGCATTTTGTTTTGTTTTTCTCACTTTTCATTGGCTCAGTTTGCTTTGCGTGCATAACTAATGCACTCCCAAACACTTCACTACACTGAAGATCCCTGAATACATGTAAATGCATAAAATCTCCTCTCAGTTCTATTTCTTTTTTGGGCACCCCTCCTGGGACCTCTACCCTCTTGCTCCAGTCGGTGTTCACTTTTCTGGAGCTGGCTGGACAGCTGTTATCCTGGAGCTTTCCTTCAGCCATCATCCCAGCAGTTTCCTCTGGGTTGGATTTCCTGGATTCTGCCTTCCTCTTCTTCCTCTTCCTCTTCTCTTGTTTTGGTGAAGTATATCTTCAGAAGCTACTCGAGAAAGGGTATCTGGATGGAAAAGGATGTAAGTACTAAACATGTATTTAGTCTGCCCTCATTCTTGATTGTTTGGCTGAGTATAGGATTCTGGGTTGGAAATTATTTTCTTGAGTTTTGAAGGTACTGTTCATCTTAAGAAGCAAGCCATTCGAATGTTTGATCCTTTATTTGTGACCTGTTGTTTTTGACTCTGGATGCACCTGGAAACGGTTTTCTTTATCCTTAACATTTTGAATTTGTCAGCGATGTCCCTTAGTGTGTAGGTTTTTTCATTTATTTCTCTGAATACTCGGGTTCTTTTAGTTTAAGAAGTCATCTTTTTTAGTTCTAGAAACATTTAAAAATATTGTGTCTTTAATAGTTTTCTCTTCCCATCTTTGCTCTCTTTGCAGCTCCTGTTTCTTGGGTCTGGGTCCTCCTGGGATAACTGTTCAGTTAAAAAAATGGTTTTTGGTCCATTTACTGTTTGATATCACTGATCCTTTTTATTTATTTATTTATTTATTTAGGCTTACATGAGCAACATTGTGGTTACTAGATTCCCCCCTTATCAAGTCCCCACCACATACCCCATTACAATCACTGTCCATCAGCATAGTAAGATGCTATAGAATCACTACTTTTCTTCTCTGTGCTATACTGCCTTCCCCGTGCCCCCTCTACATTATGTGTGCTAATCGTAATGCCCCTTATACCCCTTATTCCTCCCTTTCCACCCATCCTCCCCAGTCCCTTTCCCTTTGGTAAGTGTTAGTTCATCTTGGGTTCTGTGAGTCTGCTGCTGTTTGTTCCTTCAGTTTTGCTTTGTTCTTATACTCCACAGTTGAGTATAAGAACATACTTGTCTTTCTCCGCCTGGTTTACTTCTCTGAGCATAATCCTCTAGCTCCATCCATGTTGTTGCAAATGGTAGGATTTGTTTTCTTCTTATGGCTGAATAATATTCCATTGTGTATATGTACCACATATTCTTTATCCATTCATCTACTGATGGACACTTAGGTTGCTTCCATTTCTTGGCTATTGCAAATAGTACTGCAATAAACATAGGCATGCATATGTCTTTTTCAAAATGGGTAAATGGGTTCCTGCATTTTTAGGGTAAATTCCTAGGAGTGGAGTTCCTGGGTTAAATGGTATTTTTATTTTTGTTTTTTTGAGGAACCTCCATACTGCTTTACACAATGGTTCAACTAATTTACATTTGCACCAGCAGTGTAGGAGGGTTCCCCTTTCTCCACATCCTCGCCAACATTTGTTGTTTGTCTTTTGGATGGTGGCTGTCCTAACTGGTGTGAGGTGATATCTCATTGTGGTTTTAATTTGCATTTCTCTCATGATTAACGATGTGGAGCATCTTTTCAAGTGCCTGTTGGTCATCTGAATTTCTTCTTTGGAGAAATGTCTGTTCATATCCTCTGCCCATTTTTTAATTGGGTTATTTGCTTTTTGTTTATTGAGGTGCGTGAGCTCTTTGTATATTTTGGATGTCAACCCCTTATCAGATATGTTATTTATGAATATATTCTCCCATACTGTAGGATGCCTTTTTGTTCTACTGATGGTGTCATTAACTGTACAGAAGCTCTTTAATTTGATATAGTCCCACTTGTTCATTTTTGCTTTTGTTTCCCTTGCCTGTGGAGATAATGTTCATGAAGAAGTTGTTTATGTTTATATTCAAGAGTTTTGCCTGTGTTTTCTTTAAGAGCTTTATGGTTTCATGACTTATATTCAGGTCTTTGATCCATTTCGAGTTTACTTTTGTGTATGGAGTTAGACAGTAATCCAGTTTCATTCTCTTACATGTAGCTGTCCAGTTTTGTTCACTGATCCTTTTTTGTAAAGCCATTTTTGTTTGTTCTGCTCTCTGACTGTTGCGTGATAGGCTTTCCTCAAATATCTGACAGTCCTTAGTTATTTAAGAGTCAGACTGTAACAAGCTGCCTGGGAGCTCTGTGTGCATAGTTAGGGCTTGGTGACTAGTGGGCCTTATACTGAGCGGTATAGGTTAACAGGGTAGAGATGTAGCAGTTCTCTTAGAGTATATCCAAATTCCTATACTCCTCTCTCTTGTATTGATCAGTTTCCCCATAAAAGGATCTTCTTGTTTAGAAGGCACAAGCTCACCTCTAGTGCTCTGGGAACTGAGTAGGGAAACGGTCTGGAGGACCTATTGTTTCAGGCGTTTTCCTTTTGCCCTTTCAAGTAATTTCTGGTGCAATTTCTTCCATTATATTCCCTCGCTTTTCAGTATGGAACACAATCCATGTGCTCCGCTTCTCTGGGTCAGCTTCTCTTGAGAGCAGATCTCCACATTTCTACTGGCACTGGAAGGAGTTGCCTGGCTTTCTAGAGTGGAGGAGATCTCCAGGTGTGTAAGGCATGGTTGACTTCTGCTCCTAAAGACTTCTGAGCAGTTTTCTTGTTCAGAGCCTTACTCTGCCCTTTGCCTTTGGAAGCCCATGTGTCTGGAATTCCTGAACTTTTCCAGGATTGTAGGAGTTGGCTTCCTTCTTGGTTTGCACCTGACTCTGCTGTCTCTGACTGCCTTCTACTCTCCAGGCTTTATATATTAATTTCCTTCATTTTACAAAGTCAGTCACCATTGTTCCATGTGCTTTCTAATTTCCAAATGTTAGTGTAACTTGCCTTCTGTCCTCTCTTTTTTTCTATTTTCTTTTTCCTTATGGATTTATGCCTAATTTTTACCTTAGTGTCATCTTAGCATATTTCTGGAAGGAATGGAGACAAACATTAGTTCACTTGGCTTAATCATAAGGTTTTTGATACAATGGTAACATTTCTTCCTTTTCTCCTTTTTTCTCTTTCATTTTAATCTTGGAATTCTAGTTCCTTTTTAAAAAAGTTCACTGATTAGTCACTGTTTTTGATTATTCTGAATACGGTTACTTAAATTGACTTTAAGACTTTGAAGAGGTCAAAAAACCAAAAAGAAGATACTGATGTCCCTTGGTTACTAATTTACTTTCATCTATAGCCTATAACTTAATTTTTAGTACAGTTGGTTTTGTGTGCTAGGACCCCTATACCTTTGTTTTTTGGAGGGAAACCATTATTGGCCACAAGGACCTTAAACTTCTCCAGGCTGGCTTTACACTTAAATTTACACACATACTGCATTTATGTATATAACATGTTCAAGGCTCTGCTTAAACACTGGGGAAAGATTTATTTTCTCTTATTTGTGGCTGAACAGGATTGACTTTCTTATTGGACTAATAGCTAGATGATAGTCCAATCTTTGTCATTTTAATTATTATCATCCAGAATGATTTTAAAGTAATTTTTCAGAAAACAGTTACCAGATTACATAGTAGTTCCTGTTTTATTTTTTACAGTATTTTGCATTGTTGCTTTTCAGCAATTTTGATGTTGTAAACTCTTATAATTTATTGGACTGCTATGATAATATATAATTATATAACTGATTCTCAAGATTTGTGTAAGTAATAATAGAGGTGAGTGTGTAGTAGGTAATGTGATGCTTTATGCATATTTCTCTTTACAGTAAAGCCATTTGCAAATGAAGAAGAATACAAGAAAACTGAAGAAATTGCCCAAAAATTTCAAAGTGGTATTGGAAAAACATTGCACCAGAAATTACTTGAAAGAGCAAAAGGAAAAAGAAATTGGGTATTTATCTTATTGCATTTATAACTAGAAATTGATGGTTAGAGAATGAAAAATAAAAACGTACATAGCTTTCATTTTAAAATAATTACTGTAAAAATCTTTGCAGTCATTGTTATCATTATCATCATTCCAAAGAACGAATGACTTGCTTAACTCTTAAGTGTTTTGAGGGGTGTATGTGGGGTGTATGTTCCTCTCATCATATAGGAAACTTATTACAGTGCAGATTTCCTGCAACCAGTGATTCTGATTTAGCATCTCTGGAATGGGGGCCCAGAAATCCTTATTTTAACAGCTGCTCCATGTGGTTCTGATGCAGGTGGTCTGTAGAACATGCTTGAGAGAATATTTTGTCCAGGTAATCATAGCCTAAAGAAAACCTGAAATACCAAAATAGACATGTCACATAAGTGGCATAGAAATATTTAATCAGTGCACAGGAGAAAAAGAGCAATTACAAAATTGGTGTTAAAAATGGTTATGAGTATCCTATATTTTGGTTAGATAGATTGAGGAGACCTTGGTATAATAATTACCTAGGGTCTCAATTTTCCACAAGGAATCTTCTTTGACTTCTTCAGCCTAACTACTCTACTTCTGTAGGATGAACCAGAGGCTGTTTTCTCATATTAAAAAAACATTGCCTTAGTCTAGAAATAGTGATTGTAACTATCTCTTAGTTTTAGAAGTAAAAAGCANGCTGCCCTTGTCTAGCCTGGATTAATACTTAGTCCATAGGCACACACCTGATCATCTGATCATCTACATTTGCCTTCTTACAGCACTAAACTATGTTTTCTACCTTTATCTTGCATCTACCTACCACTTCAGCATTTTATTAAAAATAAAAATAATAATAATAATAGGAGAAATGTGGGATCAACATATAAATCAAGTACAAAAATCAAATGAATATTCATATTTGACCTGATGGTTTATAGGTCATATTGCATGATCAAAACCGAAAGTTTCTGTGATGAATGCCCTTGTACTGTTCACCATGTAAGAATTTATTCACTCTGTAAGAATTCGTTCACCATGTAAGAACTTGTTCGTTATGCTTCAGAAGATTGGAGACTGACGAGAATTAGGCTTGAGATGGATTAATGATTGTACATTGAGCGTTGACCCCCCTATACTGAATTTTATTGTTGTTAACAACCATTTGATCAATAAATATGAGAGATGCCCTCTCAAAAAAAATAAAAATAAAAATAAAAATAAAAATAAAAATAAATAAATAAATAAAAAGCAAGTCATCTTTTCTTCATCCATTGGTACCTGTGATGGAACAATAAAACTTTATACTTCCAGCTTCTTTTATTTTCAATCTTCAACCTTGAGTGATCTCAGTTAAATTAGGTAAAGGTGAAGTTGTTCTCTTCATATCCTTTTCACTTATGTCTTTTTTTGAATGACTGATTATTGTTTATAATATCAATTTCCTCAAAAATAACTCCAGGTTATTAATGAGATCTGCTTATGCATGAAATTCAATTGCATATTGTGAAAGAGGAACATATAGAAAGCCATGTCTGTGAAAAATCTGAATTAGCTTTAAGCCTTCTGAAAAGTTAAAAAATTTTGATTTAGTGTTTCAGTATTTACTTGGAAAAGGAAAATTGTTAAGTACCTTATTAATTTTTTTAATTAGAAATTTGTTGAGTATCTGTAGTACCCTGGGTACTCTGAGAAAACATCTAAGTACTTCATTAGGTCTTTGTGACTTCAATGTGGTCTGTCAGAAAGTGCCTTTTCAGTGCTTTCTTGTTTCTGGTTTTTGATAATTTAGTTAAACTGAATAGTATTTAAGATTCTATAGTTCCAAAAGAAAAAAATGATCACAATAACATTTTTCAATATCTATGATGATTTAAAACAAAAAAATGTGTTTTAAAGTGTTGAAGAGTAATTAAGAAGAACAAATGTAGCTGCTTTTTTTTCTCCTCAGTAGTTACATATTTAAGTATTATCAATAGCATTAGGCTGTTGTTCTTAATTTCTTTTAGCTGGAGGAGTGGTGGCTGAATGTTGCCTACCTGGATGTTCGTATACCATCACAATTGAATGTGAACTTTGCGGGTCCTGCATCGCATTTTGAACACTACTGGCCTCCAAAAGAAGGCACTCAGTTGGAAAGAGGAAGTATAAGTCTTTGGCATAATTTGAACTACTGGCAGCTGTTAAGAAGGTAAGGATAGTTATGTGAATTTAGTAACATATTTACTTAAAGTAAATGTTCAGAAGCTTAATTTACTTATTTGGAGATGAATACTACTGTTGTGACTATTTGGTTTATAAGTTTAACAATGATTTCTTGATCAAAATGCTTTTTCTTTTTTAATAGAGAAAAAGTGCCTGTTCATAAAGTTGGAAACACTCCTCTAGATATGAATCAATTCCGAATGCTATTTTCCACTTGCAAGGTTCCAGGAATCACTAGGGATTCAGTTATGAGTTATTTTAGGACTGGTAAGTACAAAACACCAGTACTTTTTTTGGTATAGCTGTTGGGATTTGGGTAGTTTTGCTATAGTTTCCACTATGGCACTGGGGAACAAATATTTTGAAGAATATTTCTTATTGGATTTTAACTAATCAAAGGCTTCCTGAGAACCTTTTAGTCATTTTGACTAGTTGGAAATAATCTACAGGAATGGATTTTCTAAACTGTTTTATATGATTCTGTACAAACCTGATACTTAGGTTGCATTGTTTGAGAGTTTAAATTTTAAAGAGTAGAATTATAAATCAGAATTTTAGGAAATCAGCATATGATCTGGACTCTTGTCTTTCTAACCTCATTCCTTCTTAATCTGAATTCTCTTTTGAGTATTTGCTTCTTTCTGCTCATCATGCCCATTTCTCTTTGTGAGTATGCCGCCTGCAAATATATGTTCCCCTTAGGTGATAGCCTGGTGTTAGGTTTCTTGAAGGCATATGAGTTCAGATTGACTCAACAAAGTTTTTGTTTTTACTGTCAGTTTAATGGCAATTTCTGCTTTGCATCCTAGCATATCTTGAAATGGAAAATACTTTTATAGGAACTGCTGGTTTCCTGTTACTTAAGGAATTTTTTTATTTTATAAATTTAATAACATAGTTTAGAATTACTGCAGAACATAATTATTAATGAATATTTTTCTTACATAAAATTTATTTAAAGACAAAATTTCTATAGCCAATTTTGCTTGTAGTGTGAGGGATATGAGTTAAGTTTCATGTAGAACACAATTCCTCTTTGTAAACCTCTTTAGGGGCTTGAGATATTTAATGTCTTCAAGCTCACACACATTTACCTTGATGTTCTAAGTGAAAGAATTAAAAGAAAGAATTAAAGAACCAGGGTTATTTATTCATGAAGTTTCATGCCTAAATATGAATGGAGAAGGTGAACAGGAGAAAATTGATATGAGAATAGCAGTAGGAAAGAGAGACAATATGCATTCTCAGTTAAGAACTAATATCAGTAGACCTGGTTTTGAATTCATTCTTTCTCAGTTTGTAGGGGTGCTCCTAGGTAAGGTAGCCAGTGACAAATACTATACAGAGAATTCAAATAACATGAGTAACTGAGTGGCTGTTTTAGGTAGTCAGAGAAGGCCTCTGTGAGGATCTGATGATAAGGTGATACAGCACAGTTTTTCTGTTTTTTTATTTTGTTTATTTCAGTTTGTTGGGTTGTATTTTGTTTGTTTTTGGTTTTGTGTTCTGGGGTAGAGGGGAATTTCTCTGAGCATGAATAAACTTGGCAGATTTGAAGGACACTTCGTGGATGGCGCAGAGTAGACAGGAGGCAGAGGGGCAGATTGGAAAGGGGACTGGAAGCTAGAACACAATGTTTTGTAAGCCAACCAAGGTTTTTGGCTTTTATTTAAAATGTGAATATGTAGATACTGTATCTACACAGTAGATTTTGAAAAAGAGTGATGTGATCAGGCTTATGTTTTGAGAAGATTATTCTACTTGCTGCCTGAAGAATAGATTTTTTAGTAAAGAGACAAGTGTAAAAGCAGAGAGATCAGTTGGAAAGTTGTTTCAGTAGTCCAAGTGAGCCATAATGATAACTTGTACTAGGGTGGCAGTATGGAGGTGGTGAAAAGTTATTAGAGTCTGGATATATTTTGGATTTGGGGTTAGCAGAATTATTCATAGCTTGGTTGTGAGATGTAAGAGGAATCAGATGACATCGAGATAATTGGCTTGAGTAACAAACAGGGTAGATAGGTGTGTTGGTTCATGAGGTGGGAAAAATTGGGAGGAAAACAGAAAGTCCTTTAGAATATGTTGAGTTTAAGATGCCTTTTAGACATTTAAGTGGAAATGTAAGTAGGCAGTTGGATACAAAGTTTGCAGTTCTAGGGAGAATTCATACTGCAGATACAGATTTAGGAGTCATCAGCAGCAGGCATAGAAATTGATTTTAAAATCATAGGGTAGTTAGAATTACTTTAGAACATGTGTAGGTGAAGATGACCAGGGGATCCAGTACTGATTCTTATCACAATCAAACACAATCAAACACGGTATTGGTGGAAGAGCCAACAAGAGACTAAGGTAGGCAGAAACAAAGACAGTAGTCTCCCAGAGGCCAATGGAAGGAAGTGTTTCATTTATTGCTCCTGAGAAGTCAAATGAGTTAAAAAATTGTCACCTTTGAATTTGTCAACATGATGTGGACAGAAGCTGCCCTTGACCAAAATAGTCTCAGTAGAAGTTGGCGAAGGGAGCTCAGCTGGAAATGAAAGCAAACTGAAGACGTGGTCACAACGTTTGGAAATAATGCTGCAGAAAAAGTGTTGATGTGCAGTGGGAGATTTTTTGTTTTCATTTTTTTAATGGGTGATGTTATAGGAATGACATAGAAGAAAAAGTAATCTCACAGGGGAAAGGATAAGAGGATGAAGTCATGAGGAAGGTAAGGCTGAGAGAGACAAGAGCAGAAGTGGTGGAGGGTTTGGTCTTTGACAGGAGGGAGGGTGAGGGACTGTGGCAAGTGTGCATCTAGATGCTGACAGATTATCCAATATTGTTGTAGGAAGATGAGTAGGCCCTCTGTGTCGCCTGTGGTTTCCTTGGTGAAATAACGACAGAGGTGATCAGCTAGGGTGGAAGGCATGAGGGGAAAGGAGAAGGTTGGAAATAGTCATTTTGGAACGTGGGAAAAGCCAACATGCTTTGGAGATGTAGCTAAACAGTATGGAGTGTCCATTTGAGATGTGTTTTTGTGAATTTAAAGTTAGACTAAATGGTGTGCTTTTTTGTTTTCTTCACCAACACTCAGGGGTAGGTATAGAGGAAGAGGGAGTCATGGATTTAAGGGTTTTTGCAAGGGAGAAATTGTAATGTTGAGCCATGAACTCTATGCTGGATAAGGAGAAAATTAAAGAAATTACATGTTTGGGGTGAGGTGGGGGGTGAGGGCAGCATGTAAGCTGCTGTGGCTTAGAGGCTAATCTCAATAAGTTGGCAACACTTATGACCAGTTTTTGTTACTTAACACTTAAGAGACCATTAAGACTGTTTCAGTCAGGCCTTCTATCCTGTTTACCTTATTTTTCCCAAGAAGTTCAGGCTTCCCGTGTCATGTCTTGTCATCTGGATTCATGGATTTGTTCAAGCCTAATTTGATCCAAGTTCCCCACCCTCCATCCCTCTCTAAACCCCTTTCCTGTACTTTCTGGATCTCAGGGTGGCAAATGCATCGTCCTCAACCTTTTCTCTGAAAGCTCCTGTTTCCTTCTGAAATGTATAGTTACTGAAACTGGGTTATTCTTTGAGCTTATCACTTTCCCTATAAAAGTCTCAAGTGAATATTTTTTCTTGTACTGTTCTTTGTTATGAGAGGGCATGTAGGAAATGGTGGTATCAGCTTTACTTCCCATTGCCCTTTCCATGTTCCCTTCTTCCTTACAATTGGAGCTTGGGGGAAAAAAGTGCGATCAGGCTGTATCACTACTACTCGTTGTTGTTGCAGTGGCATTGTCGTTCACTGATTGCTTTAGCACCAGTGTCACTGTCCTATGATACATTACTGCCTCATCCACATTCTTGGTTACTTTAGCTTCCAGTTAATGATCCAAGGCGTTTCCTTTCCTTCACTTTCTTCCTCTAGGAATCTGTGCCTCCACTGCTTTTCAAGCAGCCATCCACTCCCTTGGTAATGCCCTAGACCTTGTTAGTACAAAAAATGTTCTCACTTCTAATGTAATCATGAGCATCTCAATCCGATCTCCACCTTCTCTTCACAACTCCTCTAGGAGTCTACGTCAGCTGTCTCTTGGACCACGTTGTGATCTACAGTTTGATTACCCTACAGGTCCTCACAGTTGCGTTCCCCCCTCCCTGCCCCCAGTCTTCACTTCTGCCTGTGGTTCTTCACTGTGATCACTCCTTGGCACATATGTGCAAATCGTTTCCCACCTGTGCATACCCTCCCCACCCCATTCCCACCTTAACATTGCTTACATTTCAGTCTTCTGTCTTACTTCTACATATCAAAGATGCCTACCTTAGCAATTTCCTTGGTCAAGGAAAACCACAAAACCTCACTTCTCAGTTAAACCTCAAATCAGCCATAGCACTACTTTGCCAAAACCTTTTGTCAGGTTATTCCCTCACTTTCAGAGATTTTCATACTTTCTCCTTCCTTATTCTCAGTTAATAATCCTTTTCTGTTAATAAGTGTAAAGTAGTCTTTCCATCACCAAATTTACTGGCCTATCTGGTAGGCAGAATAATGGCCCCCCAGAGATGTCCACTTCCTAACCCTTGGAACCTGTTGATGAGGTAGGTCACATGGTAAAGGGGAATTAAGGTTGTGGTGAAATTAGGACTGCTGACCAACTGATCTTGAGATGGGGAGATTATCCTGGTTTATTCGTCTGGGCCCAAAGTAGTCACAAGAGTTCTTACAAGTGGAAGAAAGAGGCAAAAGGGAACCAAAGAGATGGCAGCATGGGCCTTGTACACCCCTGATAGCTTTGAAGATGGAGGAAGGGAAACGTGAGAACAGGAGTGCAGGCAGCCTCTAAAAGCTGGAAAAGTGGAGGAAATGGTTCTTCCCTGGAGCCTGCAGAAGGAACACAGACCTGCTTACACCTTCCGTTTAGCACAGTGAGACACATTTTAGGCTTCTGGTCCCTAGACCTATGAGATAAATCTGTGTTGTTAGTGGTAATTTGCCACTAAATTAAATTTGGTGGTGATTGTTACAACAGTCATAGAAAATATATTCATGCAAATGTTTGTCCATCCTGCAACCCCTCTGCAATATACTATTGCACACTCATATACTTTGCCTTCCCTTTTTAAAAGTGGATGAACTTATGACTCCTGAGGACACCCTTTCTATATGGTGCACTGGGCCCCACCTCCTCTTTCCTAATCAAGGACCTTGCTTCTGGATTTTCCTCTCTCTCTCTGCTGCATTATCAGTTTTCCCTTTTTACTGGATTGTTCCAATCTGTAATCTCTCCCATTTTAAAATGGGAAAATACAACCTCTTGTCTCCTTCAAGTGTCATACTGCTGTGGAAGCCACCATCCCCTTTCACTTAGGTAGTTCTCACGGGACCCACTTCATTTGTCTCCTGACTGATTTTGCTGTATATTCTTTTTCTCTTATAATCTCTTCTTCATCTAGTAGCTGGAGTGACCTTTGTAAAGTACTAATTGGATTGCGTTATTGCTCTCCTGCCTAAAACCTTCCATTGGTTCCCTTCCTATCATACTTCAGATTCAAAGCCCTTCCTGAGACCAGGATCTGGCCTCAACCCTATCTGCCATTCTTCCCTTTTCTCTTTTTGCTGCAGCTGTACTGACCTGTTTTCCTTTAAGCAAACCAGCTCATTTTTGTCCTTGCTGTTTCCTCTGCCTAGAACTCTTTTGCAGATACTTCCATGGTTGACTCCTTCATTTAGGTCTCTGCTCCAGTCACTCCTCTTAATGCCCATCCTGAGACAGCACCTTCCTGTCAGGTCACCATCCTTCCAACATTTGTTCATTAATTTGGCAGTATGCTCCTTTTCCTTTTTTCTTTTCAGCCCTAAATTTTGAGTATGGTGTGGTCAGTAGATGACAGAAATTAAGGTAGTGGTGGCAAATATTAAAGGATGTAGAGGTTTTTAAAGGGGAAGAGAGAAGAATGGCTTGGAAGTAACCATAAGGGACAAGGGAAGTACATACTGCACCTCCTAGGACTTGATGACATACGGTATGAGAAGACAGTAGTAGAGCTGTCAGAAAAAGGTCCCTCATCAGAGTCAATGAATAGATTTCATGAGATAATGTGCATAAAGCATTTAGCACAGTTCTTCGTGCATAATATCAACCAGTAAATTTCCTTCCATTAGCAGTATATGTCTTCTTTAACTTCTACCTCTTTTTCTTTTTTTCATTTCTTAGAAGGAGCAGAGATCATAGAAGAAGACCCTTGTCAAAGGGACTAGTACTTGAAAAATTTGGTTAAATCAGAATAGTCTGAAGTTTACAACAAACAAATAGTTCTTGGGGAGTTAAGGTGTGCCAAAGGAATCATAGAATCAGTGATCCGTGGTTTACCAGGTATTATCAGAGCCTTAAGTAAAACTACAGATTGGGCAAAATTCTTCCTCATTGCCACTCAGGCATATAACGCCCTTATTCTAGAAAACGATTTTATTGAGAAATCAGAGCTGGATATTACTGCAGTTAAATTATCTGATGGATAGTCAGCATGACAATAATACCAGAGAGAAACTTATTAATTCAGATAGCTTTCCTTCAGGGTTCCTCTGCTACCTTTTTCCCTTCCCATTCCTATCCATAAATAAAACTAGAAATCCCTGCAGCAGTTTGGGACTTAAATGAGTCACAAGGTGTACAAGTATTTGAAACTCCCATGGACTAATTGGTGTTTCATGGCAGCAGGTTTCAAGAGCATGTATTTATAATACCTGAAATTCTATCACCTTATTAAAGTGTTTTTGTTCATGTGACTTATTTGATGAATATGATAGAAAAAATATTAGAAGAAAAATTTTTTTCCTGTTGGATGTAAATATCCAGCTTTATTTTACTCTTGTTTATCTTGTTTAACAATGTTTGAGTCTTGTGTTTTCTTATTCCAGAGAGTGAGGGGCATTCCCCAAGTCACGTGGCAGTGCTGTGTCGAGGCCGAGTTTTTGTCTTTGATGTATTACACGAAGGATGTTTGATCACCCCACCAGAGATTCTCAGGTTTTCAAACTGCTTTCTTGAGTCTTGTTAGGTCTTAAGCATTTGCTTGAGTTAAATGCATGTCATAATTGTCTTTTTATAAAGTGATGCCAGTTAACTTAAAAATAAGAATTTTATATATGCTGATTTTTTTAAAATTATTTTTAATTAAGATTTTTTATTTTACTAGATGTATCTAAAAATATTCTACTTGGAGAAAAGGAAAACATTACAATATTACCAATCACTTTACTTACCCCAAAATTAATCATTGTTATTAATTTGGTGTATTCTATCCTTGCAGATCTATTGCAGTGAATTTAGATGCACATACAGAGTTTAAAAAAGAATATATGTGTACATAGTATGTATTAAATAGGACTCTTTAAAACATACATGTACTATACTGTCTCACCTAATAAATATGCTTCTTCTAAAAAATTAAGACTTCTTTAATATAATTAATGTATAATCATTCAAATTGTCTAGATTGTCTTATAAATGTTGAGTTGTATATATCAATATATATTTTAATACTTTTTTAGTAAGTGTTGCAAACATATAAAAGTATACACAGAAGTATACAGCTGTCATGTGACTATCACCTAGGTTAAGACATAAAACATTTCTAGTACTCCAGAAACCCCCCTGGTACCACTTCCCAGTTACTATGCTTTCCCTCCTTCCTAAGGACAATCGTTTAGGTTGCTTATAGTTTTTATTAGTACAAAAACTGCTGCTGTGAAAATTCTTGTACAAGTTTTTTGATTACATGTGCATGCATTTCTATCTGCTCATGCATGAAAGGAGTTGCTGAATCATAGAGTAGTATTCATTCAGCTTCAGTAGATGATGTCAATTTTCTCAAATAGTTGTGCTAATAAGCACTTCCATTAGTGTATGGGTAGTGTAGGAGTTCTTTATTCTGGACATGAGCTTCTCATTGGTTTTTTGTTGAAATCTACAAAGTAGATGTTTATATAACTGCCTTTTCTTTCTATTAAAGGTGTCTTTTAGATTGATATGTTCTTAATTTGAATATAGTTCAATTTATCAATCCTTTACCATATAGATTATAATTTTTTTGTCCTGTTTTAAAAAAATTTTCCCTCACCCAGTGTCAAGAGGATATTTTCCTTCATTGTATTCTAGACTTGTATTGTTTTGTCTTTCACATTTACATTAACAGTCTGCCTAGAAATTGGTTTTTCCATGTGGCGTGAGGAAGATATGTTAGGTATTTTTCTTCAGTTCACTTTTTTTAGTCAATAACAAAGTGATATTTTTATATGGGAAAATATACATCTACCTTATTCTTTTAACTCTTGCATAGAATTTCATCAAATGGACATACTATAGTTGGACCATTCCTCCTATAGTACATAAGGTAGTTTCCACTTGCTGCCATAACAAATAATGAACATTTTGAAGGATGACTATTTGTGTATTTGGGAGAATGTATTAATAGTTTGATATTAGAAGTGAAATTTCTAGATCATAAGATACGTACATTTAAAATATTTAAGTCAAATAGTCATCCAGAGGGGCATTATGTTCCCTGCCAGTATTTCAAGAGGATATCCACTTCTCCACATAATTGCTGACATGATATAATTAAACTTAAAACATATAATGAGCTGAGAGGTAAAAAATGATCATTGTTGCTTGAGTTGGCACATTTCTCATTAGGGAGGTTAAATATTCACCATTTGTACTTTTACTTCTTTGAGTTTCTCTATTTTTTTATTGGCTATTTTTAAAAGTCTCACTGATTTGTAGCAGTTATGTGTATGTCTGGACACTAATTCTTCATTGATTATGTGTGTTGCAAACATTTTCTTACAGTTACATTTTTTTTGGTAATTATGCACACATCATTAATTTTGATGCAGGCAAATGTATCATCTTTGATAAAAGAATAAAGACATCTTTTCTTTTAGGTATTTTGCATGTGTATCTTTGATAATATTTCTGTATGTTTCAGTTATATTTTTTAATATATTGGATACAAATTTGACATACAATTCTAGATCAGGATTATTCAAAGCCACTCTTCCAGAAATTGCATACATTTGACCTATGGGCCAAATTCAGCCTATGCCTTGTTTTACTTGGATAACAGAATTTAAATCACTATTTCAAAATTGGGAAAATTCACATAAAAGTATGATTTTCTGGTTTCTTTTTAAAAAATATCAAAATTTTCTTCAGATATTTAATTCTCTATTAATTCAGCCTCCATGGTGGTTTTCTTGTCTCCATATATTTTATATAGTCATCAGTCTTACAGCATTAAAATTCAAGTCTGATTGGATTTCACCTTGGCTTAACATTCTTACATGGTTCCTTGTGGTCTAGAATAAAGTCCCAGTTTCTCAGCAGTGTTCTAGATCTGACCTTTGCTTACCTCTTTAGCTTTGTGTCCTGCTCTTCCCTCTTGTGCATCCTGTACGCCTACCTGTTTCTCTGCTTGCAATTCTTGTAACGCATCAGATTACCTGTGCTTTTTGCATTTACTCATGTTTTCTCTTTGGAATGTTCTCTCCCGCCTTTTCCACCTTTAGAGTAAACATTCTTACTTGTGCTTTTTATGTCTGTTCATGTGTCCCCACAAGGTCAACTGTTTCCTAATTTCCTATTCCCTTTCCTCTCCCTAAGCCCCAAAGAGTTAGTTAGCCTTCATTAGTCTCTTTGTGTGCCTTGTATTTGTCTTTATTACATTGATTATAAGGTTGTATTGAAATAACTTATTTCTGTTTTCATATGCAGATAGAGCTCTGAGAGAATAGTAATCAGGTCTTTTTTTTTTTTATTTCCCTTTGCTTACTACAAAAGAGCATGTGTGTATGAACAAGTGATCAGGTCAGTTCTGTGCATTAGGAAATTTTATCTAGAAATGTAAGACTCATAGGTATAAGAGTGATAAAATTCGGAATCTTAGTGAGTTGGAGTTCTTAGTGGGTTCTCAAAAGGAATGTGGTAAAATCTGCAGTAATCCAGGAAAGAAGTAAGAGATTGGGACTTTAAAAGAAGGGACAGATGCAGAAAATACTTTGGAGATAAAATTAATAAGAATTGGTGACTATTTAGAAAATGGGAAGGTATTAAATATGACTGAAGTTTTTCAGCTTAGTTGAGTAGGCAGATGGTATCATAACAGGAGGAGGTAACAGCAGAGAAGGAATCATTTCAATTCTTTTTTTCTTGTTTTTTATAACAGCTTTATTGAGATATCACAAAGCATACTTTTCACCCATTTAAAGTTTACAATGTTGCATTTTTTTAGAATATTCACAGAATCGTGTAACCCTCTCCATGATCAATTTTGGAACATTTTTGTTACCAATAACCCTGAATAACTAGTAACTCTCCATTGCTCCCCAACTCTTCCCTCATCCATTGGCAGACACTTACCCTATCTCCCAAACACTCCCACCCCATCAGCCCTAAGCAACCACCAGTTGACTTTCTATCTCTGTAGACTTGCCTCTGCTGGACATTGCATATAAATGGAATATTATAATGTATGACCTTTTGTGTCTGGTTTCTTTCACTTAGCATGTTTTCAAGGGCCATCCATGTTGTGGCATGCATTTCTTCCTTTTTGTGGCTGAATAATATTCTGTGATATACATTTTATTTAATTATTTTATTTAATCATTCATCAGTTGATTTTGCATTGTTTCTACTTTTTGACTGCTGTGAATAATGCTGCCATGAACATCTGTGTACAGCTTTTTGTATGGACATATATTTTCATTTCTCCTAGGAGTGGAATTGCTGGGTCAGAACTCTATGTTTAACCATTTGAGGAATTGCCAGACTATTTTCCAAAGTGACTGCACCATTTTGCATTCACATGAGTAGTATATGAGGGCTCCATTTCTCCACATCCTCAACAATACTTGTTATGGTCTGTCTTTTTGCTTGTAGCTGTCCTAGTGAGTGTGAAGTGGTATCTCATTGTGGTTTATATTTGTATTTCCATAATGACAATGATGTTGACTCTTTTGATATGCTTATTAGCCATTTATATGTCATCGTTGGATAAATGTCTGTTAAGTCCTTTGTCAATTTTTCATTGGGTTGTCTTTTTATTATTGAATTATAAGACTTCTTTACTTCTTCATTCCAGATATATATTTCTTCAAAGATATATATGTTTTTTCTTGGTGTAAAGGGAACAGGGAGATAATTTTTAAATGTACATCTAGTTTGAAATGTTGGCAGAAATTGATGTAGAGCTATCCAGCAAGCATTTGGAAATTTGGTACCAGAAATTTAGAAAATGGGGTGAAGTTAGAGATTTGGTTGCCTCTTATGTAAAGGTGATAGTTGAAGGTATTAAAGAAGTGAATGAAATTACCAATGGAGAAACTTGTAGAAGAGGTTGGAGGAGGCCAGTCATAGAAATTTGGGGAAATGCACATTTGGCAGTAGAAGGAGAACAGTCGATGAAGACTGAGCAGTCAGTGAGGTAGGGAGATCACCAAGGAACAGTGCTACAAAAGCCAAGACAAGATAATTAAAGATTCACTCCTGGGTGTTAAACACTATGATGAGGAAAATAGGATGAAGATAAAAACTACTAGATTTGTTTTATGGAACATTACTGGTAACTTTCAGAAATGCAGTTTCAGGATAATCACTGGATTAGAAATACGGTCTTACATCTAAGCCTTTGTTTATTTTGAGTTGGTTTTTATGTATAGCATAAAATAAAGCTTCAGTTTTATTCTTTCTTGTGTGGCAACCACCTTTTCCCAACACCATTTATTTAAGAGACTTTTCCCATTCCCAACACCATTTATTTAAGAGACTATCCATTTCCCATTTGTATTCTTGGCACCCTTGGCACTCTTGGCAGTTTCAGTTGAGCTGTATATTGGTGGATTTATTTCTGGGCTCTCTATTCTGTTCCATTGTGTGTGTGTGTGTGTGTGTGTGTGTGTGTGTGTGTGTGTGTATATAAAATATATGTTTTTATGCAAATAACCATACTGTTTTGAATTCTGTAGCTTTGTAACAAATTCTGAAACCAGGAACTGTGATGCCTCCAGTTTCATTCCTCTTGCTCCAAATTGCTTTGGCTATTTGGAGTTTTTTTGAGGGTCCATATGAATTTTAGGTTTTTTTTTTTTTTGTTTCTGTGAAATAAATGCCATTTGAATTTGGGAGATTGCATTGAATCTGTAGATTGCTTTGAGTAGTGTGTACTTCTTATTGTTGAGTTTTGGGCAATTATTATCTGACCTCTTATTATCAAACTTAAAATGTCATTTCAGGTTTAACACATTTCCCTGGTAATTTCTGATAATGACCTCCTTTTATGAGGTGGTCATTTCCTACTAATTATGAAAACGGCCATATGAGGGAGCAGGAACAAGTTTCATAGTCAGAACTGGTGCTTTGAGGTGGTAAGGGAAGGGCAGCATCCAGTACCCTATGGAGAAAAACAGTGAGGTAGGTTTTATTATTTGTAATTGAAGCAAAATCAGAATTGGCAAAGCCACACAGGAAGAGGCAAGGCAAGTTGTTCCCACCATAGAGACAGATTATTTGGTGAAGCAGCCCTCTTCTGCTCCCCAGGACACCATCAGTGTTCAAAAGAGGGAGAGAATTTGTGGCAAGGAACTTACTTCTTCATCAGGGTTAGAGAAATAATTAAGAAACAGAGGAAATTATGCAAATCAATAATTGTATTTTTTCCCCCAGTTTTAAATGATAAAGCCACAAGTAAAGGATGGCTACTAGAGGTGCTTTTTGGCCATTATTAAGCTATATTAGTTCACTTTCTGAGAAACTTTTGGAAGCTTTTATATTGAGGTAATTTCTTAGCATGTGCCATGAGGAAGTAGGGCTGAAACTAAACCTCTGGATTTTTGACTGATGAAAATTTCTTTACGGAATGATGAAAATTAATTTTTTATGGAATAACCCTGTTATTTACCTACCATATATTTTAAGATACATGAAACTCATAAGACTGGGGCTGTAGAATGCTGTGGGAAGAAATAATTTATCCTTAGCTAATAGTCTTTAAGATATAATGGTTACAATTAACAGCACTTGTGAAAACATTTAAAACTGACTACATAGTACTTCTGTTTTGGTGTTACACACAAATACTAAGTAAGTCCTCTATTAAATTTGTATGCCATAGTTTTTTAGTAACATAAAGATGTACATGATATTTGTGAGATTATTTAACAGAATAGTTTTTCAGGTTCTCTATGTAAGAGGTATTTACATGGACCCTGAAAGTATATTCATTTTAAAAGTATAAATTATATTATCCAAACACCAAATTTACTGATTTATGATCAAATATACTTTTGGTGTTAATAGGCCACATAGTCACTTTTTTAAAAAAGATGCAGTATCTTGCTATGCTGATGGACAGTGACTGTAGTGGGGGTGGTGTGTGGGACTTGGTGAGGGAGGGAGCCTGGTAAACATAGTGTTCTTCATGTAATTGTAGATTAATGATAGCAAAAATAAAAAAATAAAAAAATAAAAAAAGATGCAGTATAGGAGATCCATTACTGTTGAGATTGTAATCCCTTTATCAGAACATTTAAATACCAATAAACATTATGACCTGTTAAAGGCCAAAGTAGCTGGTGATCTTGCCTGTGCTCTTTCTAATTCCTCTTTCTTTAATTTTCCTTAAGGCAATTGACATACATCCACAGGAAGTGCCATAGTGAACCTGATGGGCCTGGGGTACCAGCATTAACTAGTGAGGAGCGAACTCAATGGGCTAAGGTTATAATTAATGCTTCTTTTTTTTTTTCTTTACTGAGGTATAACTGACATATAATATCATATTATTCTCAGATGTACATGATTCAATATTTGTATATATTGTGAAATGGTCACCACATATATCACCACAATAAGTGGTTAATATCTGTCACCGTACGTAGTTACAAGATTTTTTTTTCTTGTGATGAGAACTTTTAAGATCTACTCTTAGCAACTTTCAAATATGCTGTATAGTATTAACTATATTGGTACACCCCACTTTTCAGAAGTTCACGTTTTGCCATCTCACTTTTACAAAAAGGCCTACATTCGTATCTGTTTTCCCTGAAAGAAATCCAAAGAGGATTTTTCGCTTACACAAAAAAAGGCAAGAAGTGAAAATAGCGCATTCAGCATTTTGCAGCAAGTCACTATAGAGGCAGTGTGCACCCCGAGCAGGGAGAGGAGCTCCACCAACCTCCTTCCCTGGAAACTATGCTCAATGCTCCAACATCAAGCTGCCATAGTTTTGAATCATTTATGTGAGCATCTGTGTTTATCTTGATTTATTTTATGCAACCATTAGCAAGATGTGTCCTAAGGCATCAGGAAAGAATGAAGAGAGATTTTTTTGGGGGGTCTGGGAGTACTACAAAATTTTCCATATAAATTAATGGTGATTCCTTTTTCACTTTAATGCCATTTTGGCTTTTGAAAGATTATAGAATACTTTACTTTCAGATAGTGAGAGAAAACCATAATTTGATCTTTCTTAATGAACCTTTTTCCCTACAAGCTATTTTGAGATTTTTCTGGATATATTATATTTAATTTGTAGTATTTAATCATTATCTTCTTTTGCTGCAGGCACGAGAATATTTGATTAGTCTTGACTCAGAGAACTTGACTATGTTAGAAAAAATTCAGAGCAGTTTACTGGTATATTCCTTAGAGGATGGCAGTCCACATGTAACACCAGAAGATTATTCTCAGGTACTTAACTATCTTGTTCCGTATTTCTTCCCACAAATTTTTCTGGAGGACTTTTGTGTATATTGAATATGGGAAGTTTGTTATATGCAGGCTCTTGAAAGATTTTCTTAGCTATAATATATACATGTACCAAATTCAAGCCTACACATAAATCTGTAAGGCTTTGTAAATTCTTGCCACATTGTTAGTTCTGTTTAGAAATATCTTGTATGTTGTTTAAAGAAGTATGACTATTGTTTGCAAATCACATTTGTTTCCCAACCTTTTCAATTATTTGCATATACAGAAAATTGGCATAGGACACTGCCCTAAATGAGCTTCTCATGTCAAAGATGACATGAGAACCTACCTGTAACCCATACCAGTGTGCTTTAGTTGGTGAGATCTGTCCTAAGAATTTTATCACTCTTATAAGTAATTTATCATTTGTTTTTAGAACACACTGACTTTACTGATTTAAGGGTAAATGTGGCCTTACTTTTTACTCCAACCCCCCAACCCCGCCACTGGGATAATATCATTTCCTAGGAAATAATAAAAGATAGTAGTCATATTTGTAGAAGTCTCATAGTCTTTTGAAAATAGTTATTTCATAATGCATTCATCAATGTTAAATAGTAGGAATAAAATAATAACAGCACTAAAAAACCTTGTAATTAGAAATGTTTAGAAGTGTTTTTTTTTTAATAGGAGAATCATCAAACTTTAGGAAAAATACATTTTAATCATTGTTGCTTAAACTTTTTTTTACTGCACTCTATAGCTAGGCATACATTTACTTTACAGCCCATTGTACACACATGTGTGCATGTACACACATATAATAGAAGTTTCACAAAATAGTAATTACTTTTGCTATCTGTGATGTACTCTGATACTTCTGTTCTCTTTTATTGTATCTTTTTAAAAGTAAATAATGTTTACTGTGTTGCACTAAGTTGATTTCATGACTCACTAATGGGCCAGAACCTACTATTTGAGAAACATGCTTACTTGGATATGAATTCTTAAAATATTTTCCATATAACTAGATTTTTTTTTTTTGAGCGCTTTTATAAAATTTTTATTTTTCAATTACATGCTCATTGTAACAAACCCAAACAACACAAAAGTGGATGAAGCGGGTGGAGAATGGACCTGCCTTCTCCTTCCAGGTCGAAACCTTTCCCTCTGCTCATAACACATGGATGGTGGCTGAACGTGCTGCTGGCTCAGGGGCCAGACCGCCAGGCTCCCTCTGGGCCCCGCCACTTACTGACTTGAAAGCCCTGGGAAAACGACTTCTCTGTGCCTCCGCATATAACTAGACTTTAATGACTGAACTTATCAAGGCCTTTTACACTATTCAAGTTGCAAAAGCATTGTCCTTTCAATTGTATGTCCTCTGAACATCCATGAATATTGTACTAGTTGTCTTTTTTCTGGTAGGATTTCTTGAGATTTTGAGAAATATCTAAAGTTAGGGCTAGAATTATAATCATCTCTTGAATCTCTTGAATGTAACTACTATCATTTTATTAAATTTGGTTTACCTGAAGATGAAAAATTATATATATATATATATATATACACACACACACACACATACATATGTACATATATATAGAATGTATTATGCATATGTTCTATACACAGATATATTTCTAGATTTACCAAATGACTTTGTAACTTTCTAAAATGACATGTAATTTTTGAAACATTATTAATTTACACTATGGATATTAAAATGTATGGTACTTATTACCAATTTTTACTTTTATATATATATATTTAAGATATAAATACTTACAAACCAATGTTAAGGTCTTTTTAATTTGGAAATATTACATTTATTTTAGGTAACTGTAATGGTCCTTACTGGAGATCCAACAGTACGCTGGGGTGACAAATCCTATAACTTGATTTGCTTTTCTAATGGAGTATTTGGCTGTAATTGTGATGTAAGTGAACTACTGAAATTTTTTCCTTTTAATTTTTTAGGTTAATTTAATGGCAATAAACTACAATTCTTGTGCTATGGTAGTATAAGTAAACATTTTTTCAGTTTTATGACATTAGAGTAAACTGTTTAGTTTTGAAAGCTCAAGGACAAGTTATTTTCGTCTGTAGTAAGGCTAACAGTTTGATGTGTATCTGAAAAGTAGAACTTGTATATATTTTTCTGTAATATAAGCTCTTTAAAATCCACTGTTTGTTACCTGTTTGAGAATTACATCCTATTTTAAAAGATATATTATATAGCATTATGTATACTCTGAGAAATGTATGTGAATATATTTCTAGGTCTACGTAGTAATTTTTTGACTGTTCCTAAAAATGACACATGATCTTTGAAACATTATTAATTTACACTGTGGACATAAAAATGTGTGGTACTTAATACCATTTTTTACCTTCATTAAAAAAGAAAACTTGTTTTTCTTCTCTTCCCCCATGGTTGTCTTTATTAGCTCTGCTTTGCCATTTTATGATGGACGTTCAGGAAGTCTGTGAACCAAAAAAATTTTTAAATGGCCTAAATCATGTTGCAATAAGCACTTATAATCTCACTGTAACACCTTCATACAGTACAAAATTTGGTATAAAGTGGTATGAGGTAGACTTTTATTTGTGTTTGGTGGCCTTCCAAAGCATCAGTAACTAAAATACTAAGAAGACCTGTTACATTGATCTGTGTTCAATAGTTGGATTGATTAATGTTTATTCACTTTTAGGTATTAGTGACCTCAATCAAACTGGCATTAGCTAAAGATACTTGTTAGCATAGTGGTATAGCTAAATTTGGGTAAGGCTGACTTCAGTTTCCAAAGCTTTCATTAGGAATTCCTCTCTCCATTTTTTGCTTTTCCTGTGTTTGGCTTCATTTTTAGGTAGACTACTCCATGTGATTGTTGTATACCCAATGTTATGGTTTCATAGCATTCTTAATAGATTAGTGCTCCCCATGGAAATAGCCAGCTTGTTTTTCTTCAGTAATTCCATCAAAAGTCTTGGAAATAATGGTCATTGGTTATGATTGGCCTGTGTGAACTGTACCCGTTCCAGGAAATCAGGTGGTCTTACGTGTGGTGTTTTCCTGAAGGAAAAGAGAGTAGCTTTATCCCAGAAGGTAGAGTGCTTGATGAATAGGTAATAAAACTAGTTGTCTTTATAGTAGCTCATCAGAGTGAAATGTTGCCCTGAGTCATTTTAAAGATGCATTGTCTTTCCTCTTCTTGGACTCTACTGTTGACAAAATATTTCTCATTAATTGCCTAAGTTTTCTCTTCAACTCCTTGTTTGATTGTTCTCGACCTCTTCAGTCTGGTTTATACCCTTACTGTTCCCTGAAACTATCCTTTGTAAAGTAGCTAACTGCCTCCTGGCTTCATCCCTCCATTTGTCTTTGGCCTGTCTGCTGGGGCTGCTTACTGTCTTCTTCATATATATTCTGACTCTGCCTCCATCTCTCAACACTGTTTTCCTATCTATTGATTCTAAAACAAACCTTAATGTTAGTCACACTCTTTTCCCCTGTGCCTGCTCTCTTTCCTGGTTTAATAGTTTCATTGGCCATTTTATATAGGCAGCTCTCAGTTACACTTTTCTAGTTTCTAATCTATTTTCTCATTATGAAAGTTTGTTTCACCATATTTTAAATTGTTCAAGCTGGATGTTATTTTGTTACATAAATTGCTCTCATCAAGAACACATCTTGCTTTCCTCCCTCACTCCCAACCTCCACAAAAAACTTGCACTTTAATTTTTACTAATAGCACCAACATCCTGCTGTTCATATAAATTCAGGATGAAAATAACTTTAATAATTTTTTCTATTTCTGAATAAAGAATATTGGTTCCATAATGGGCATGCAGCTCAGCACAACTGAGATGCTTTCCTGTACTAAGTGTATGGACATGTTTCATGTGTATGCATTAACACTACATATTTACAGAATTGATCTGATTATTTCCACCTGATAATCTGCTGTTAAGATTCCATGTAGATTTCCTGTGTAATGTAAGATTATTACATAAATGCAACTTAACCTATGTAAAACATTGTTAGTAAGTATATATAGTGTAAAGTAAAGCTGTTCTTAATCGAAAGCCACATTACTGCTTTCTTCATTGTTGCTTGGATATGTACTTTTGTGAATATACTAATTAATCACATTTCCCTATTGGGATTTAAAATCCTGGGGTCAACTATTTTGTCTTCTCTATATAGGCTATATCATGCGGCTTTGTGAAGGGCATATAGGAAGCCTTAATAAACATTAGTTAATAATAATAGCAGTTACTTATTATTGCTATGAGCCAAGTTCTGTAGTAAGTGCTTTAAAAGCATTGTTAAAATCATTTTGCACAGCAGTTGTATAAGAATAGGAATTATCCCAAGAGATGAGGTACTTTAAAGAATTTACTAACTTTGTCACAGTTGCACAGTTGGGAAGTGGTAGAGCTTGGGACTTGGAACCAAAATCCACCTTCTA